TCCCTTTTTTGTTTAAACTAGCGTGGGCTGGATTTCTGTGAGATGCAATCAAGAGTTCTAACTCTTACTCTCCCAGATCTATCACTAGCCTAGATTCCTCTCTTCAGCTCTATTCGAGTGTCCTTCAATACACATTCCCCGAGTAGCTGCTCCGCGCCAGGCACTATGCCAGGTGCTTCTGTAGGTGTGCCGAAGACACACAGGTAGCTCTGGTCCTTGCCTGCAAGCGGCTTATCATCTCCTTGGGCAGACTGAAGAGGAACTGGATGATTACAATCATGGGATACCTGCCATGCGTGAGACGGGGACAAGATTCTCCATTTACCAACGCAAATTGGAACTGGAGCACCGGGTACCCCCAGAAATGCCACCTCTAGGCTGATTCTTGAAGAGCAAAGGAGAGTTGTCAGGTGAGGAAGGGCAATTGTGAGGTTTCCAGGCAGAGGACACTGAATCTATAAAGGTAAGGAAGTGAGAGAGAGTTTGCCTTCTTGAGGGAGCTAAAATATAAGTTCCATGAGGATAAAGACATTGTCTTATTCACTCTCTTTCCATGGCACTTCCATAGTGCTTGGTATGTGGTAGCTTTTGTGGGATGAATTAATGGCAGGGACTTCAGTGTGGCACAATTCCCAGGGATGGTCCCAAAACACCAAACTCAATGCCATCAAGTAGAGGCCGACTCAGAGTGACCCTATAGGACAGTGTAGAACTTCCCCTGTGAGTTTTTGAGGCTGAAACTCTGTACAGGAGTAGAAAGCCCCATTTGTCTCCCATGGAGTGGCCAGAGGTTTCAAACTGTGGGCCTGTGGATGAATTGCAGCCCAACTCATATGGTTATGCCACTGGGGTTCTAGAAGAGGAAACCAGAGGCCAGTCTATTCAGAAAGCCTCCTGCAGGCCATACAGTGCAGTATGGACTTCCTTCTTGGGCATTGGTGACTCCCTGAAGATTTCAAACAAGCAAGGACATGATCCGATTTACAACTTAGAAAACGGAACACCGACAGCCAAGGTTAGGAGGAAGGCTGCTGGTACTGGAGCCTTTTCCAGCTGGAAATGGTTGGCCAAGGCAGCTGAAAGAGAGTGGGGAGAAGGGTGGCTCTGGGAGCAACTAATGGAGGAGAATGCAGAAGGTGGCAGAATATGACTTGCAGGTGAGAAGGGGAGGAGTCCAAAGATGAGGCTCAGATGTGGGCTTTGAGCAATTGGGTGGATGGGGATGCAGCTCAGTTAAGGAGGCAAAGTAGGAGGAGGTTGTAGGATCCATGAGCTTAAGGTTTCAGTGGGCTGTCAGTGGGAAGTCAGACTATATGGATGTAGTTTATATTTTTACATTTGGCAACACAGACGAAAAAACACCATGATTGAAGCCAATCACAAAGACAAATATTGTATGGCCTCACATATGAAAAGATTTTTAAAATGACAAATCCATAGAAAACCAAGTTTATTATTGGTGAAGGGAGAGGAAAAGGCTAATGGAGATTTTTAAAATGGCATAGATTCAGGATAGCATTGCACAGCCAATAATTCTAAGTGCTGTCAATAAGTTGGACACTTATAAAAAGTTGAAATGGCAAAAATTGTGGACTCCCTCCAGGACAAACAATAGAAACCATGGGGGAAGGGAGACAGCAGTCGGGGTAATATATGAAAAAAATAGTAATTTATCAAGGGGTCACAGGGTGGATTGGAGGGAGGGAAAAAAGAGGAGCTGATATCAAGGGCTCAATAGAAAGTAAATGTCTAGAAAATAATGATGGCAACATATGTACAAATATGCTTGATGCAATTGATGTATGGCTTGTTATAGGAGTTGTAAGAGCCTCCAATAAAATGATTTTTTTAAAAGTTGTGGAATAGAGACATTTATAACATTCTATACATTCCATACAACCAAAGACCTCAGAGGGATTTGGGTCATAGTTTGGGGGGGATTGCAGTACTTGGTCTTGTAACGTATCTAGTGCTTCTGTTCTACTTCCTAGTGTGTTAGGTAGTGCCTGGGCCCTGACACACTTGCAAGGAGGCATCTAAGTCACAACCATTGATTTCTTTTCACCTGGAGCAAGAGAGGAAGAAGGGGCATCAGGACAAGGGAAGGTTGTGGACTGTGTGGCTAATTGTCTCCATGAACAACTGCTTCCTTTGGCTGGAGACCAGAAGAACTGGAGGGTGCCTGGCTATCATCACTGAACTGATAAGTCATCTTTATCAAAAGGGGGGAAATGCAGAACAGAATTTCACATTCTCATGGACTCGAGTCACAGAGAATGAATGAACCCCTGAAACGATTGCCCTGAGATAATATTTGAATCTCACACTAAAAATATCTAAAGAAGTTATATATTAAAAAAAACCCACAGTGAATAGTTAACTTATAACTAGTGTCTTAATGATCTAGCGTGGCTGTAACTGAAATACCACAAGTGGATAGCGTTAACAAGACAATGCTGTGGAAGGTGGCATGGCTGCTTGCTCATATGAAGAAACTGACTTTGAGTGGCCAACTCACTTGTCCAGGGACAGTAAGTGACTGCAATGGGTTGTTGCTTTGGTGGTTCCTAACGAACTATGTCTCTAGCCCATGTGGTCCCCTCCCACATTGAGTCAGGGCCTTGTCATGTGACTTGCTCTGGCCAATGGGACATCAGCAAGGTTATACATGGGGCTTATCGTTTTAGATTCCCTCTTGAGATCCAGCTGCCAGATGATAAAAAAACTTAGGCTAGACTCCCATGATTAGATGCCACGTACAGGGAGACCCTGGAGGGAGAATGAGAGGCTATCTCTTGATGTTTCTCTCCGGGCACTCTCCCAGCTGAAGGTAGCTGTGTGACAGACGCCAAGTTAATACCAGCAGATCCACAGCCATGGCCAGACCCAACCCAAGGATGGAGAGAAATAATGTACCATTGTTCTGTTAACCCCCTAAGTTCTGAGGTGGTTTATTATGCACCAATGAGTAACTGGAAAAGTGACATGCTAGGGTTTGAAGGCAATACAGTCCAACGACCTATCTTTCCAAATCCGTGCTCCGAGTCCCAGCACGGTGCTCCTTGTGGTTGGGAGCAGATGTCACACCAACACAATAATATTCACAGGCTGGCCCACAGTCACACTCAGAAATACTTGTTGAATGAATGGTATGTGTGTAACCAGGAAGGTAGGAAGGTCTGGGGAGTTTCACAGGCAGGAAGGCAACCATTATCTCCTTCCCATTTCAAATAGTCCCCAAACAAAAGCCAAACCCAAGCCAGACCAAACCTGTTTGCAGTCTCTGAAACACTACAGACTGAAACCCTACAGAGCAGTTCGCCGTGTCCTATAAGTTATGAGTCAGAACTGATTTGATGGCAGTGGGTTTTTGTTTTTTAATGTTTAAGGAAGCCGACTACCATATCTTTCTCCCAAAGAATGGCTGGTGGCTTTGAACTACGGACCTTCTAGTTAGCAACAGATCTACCATAGGACTCTCCTAAATCCAGATACGAATGTATGGATATCACTGCTCAGGAGCTTCCCTTTTCTGTTCAATGCAGATCGGGCAAAATGATGAAGTTATCAGAGTTTGTTTCTTAAAGGCCTCCATCATGTCCTCCCCACTCCCACTCCTCACTTCCCATAGTGCTCCTGGCATCTGTTCTCCCTCCCACTGGGCCTTCAGGGCCTCACAGGTCTCTACCCCCCTTGCTCTATGTGGGTTTCTATATAAAACCCACATGCTGGGAGGGAAGCAGAGAAGGTAGAAATGGCAGAAAGCAGGGAGGAAGGTTTGAAAGGTAATAGATGGATTTACCAGTCACAGAAATGAAGCTCTAAGCTCAATGCTTTCAGGAAGTATCTGCATGCAGGTGGGGGAGGTATTCTAAGGGAGGGGAGGCAGCAGCAAGTGTCCCTGGATAATAGCTTATTTTCCCTCCCCCCACCCACTCAGAGAGGCTCGACGGAGTTCAGCTCTGTTCTCCCTTTCTGGGCTCAGCTTGGAAAAAGAGATTTCCTTGGGCTCTAATACCATTATACTCCCATTCTACCCCTGTGGTGGGGAATAAAAGAATGACACACACACACCCCCTATAAACCCCACCCACTCAAGGAAGCTGGGTTCCAAAGTGCACCTCCCACACTGGTCACTCCAGCCTGGTGAAGACCCACAGAGTCAATTCATCCAGTCCTCTGTTTCTTGGAAGGCGACACTGCTTTTTCTCTCCTCAGCTTCCCCCACCTCGCCTGCAAACATGCACACGACTCCCAAGGTCACACACACACAGGCTCCGGCACCTGGATCTCACACCCAGCAAACCATCTGGGCCCCTGGCTGCAGCGTGGGCCTGAGGATCTAGCAGGCCCTGCTCACAGGCAGCGCCACACACTCACATGCAGAGCAATGCAGTGAGGCGCACTCGCAGCCAACGCTACCGTCTGCAAAGGCACCCGGAGTGTCTGCACAGATAGTAGGCACTCTGGTGTCAGGAGACAAACACGCGTGCACACACATGCACACCTCCAGACTACCACACGTGCACACCAGCACGCACAGGCGCTGAAAGCCTCCCACCTCAGATGCCCGTACAGGTGCTCGGCCAGGCCTCAACCAGTCACTGCCCAGGCCCCCGCCCCCACCCCACACAGCGGCCGGTGGGGAGGACAGCGGTTTGAGGGCACTCCCTCTGCCTTCTCCCTCTGGTCCGGTACGCCGAAATCCAGCATCCCGTAGGGGATCTGGAGCCCGCCCCCGTGCCCTCGCCAGGCTCAGAGAGACCCAGGTGAGAGGGGGAAGGGAAACCCGCTCTCAAATCCGTCTGATTTCAATTCCTGAAATTAACCCCTGCCCTGCCTCTGGCCTGGCCTGCTCAGAATCCCCTGGTAGGGCGGCCGCACGGGCCTCGGGAGGGCGGGGTGGGGAGAAGCCATGCAAGGAAGATACAGCGGCTCAGGGTGCTCCCCGCCCCCGATTTCTTGGAGCAGTCCAGCAGCGCTCCGCGATTCGCCCTTACCTCCTCTACCCCGCAGCGAGGCCAGGCCCCGCCGCCCCGAGTGAGGGTGCAGAAGCGGCCCTCGGGTGCCTGGTCCAGACGCAGGGCCGCCTCCGGGCCTCGGATCCCGTCCCCTTCCGTAGCCTTGGGTGGCCGCCGCGGCTTGGGCCCCCCGCCTCCCTCCCGGGGCGGGGGCGGCCGAGCCCCCCGGCCAGTCGCAGCGGGAGGGGCGCACAATCCGGGTGGGGGAAGGATGGAGAAGGAGGAGGGGGCGCACGGCTGAAGGAAAGGAAGGGATGGGGGAGGGAGGCTACGAGGAGGTGGGGCGGAGCCGGCCCCTCCTCCGGGGCGGGCTCTGTTCGGAGCTGGGGCTGGGTTGATGCAGCCCCGAGCAGCTGCGCCGGGACCCCACGTTTTTGGATGAAGGTGGCTTTGATAAGGGTGGGGCTGTGATGGGGTCTGGCGCAGGGGAGCGGGGAGGAGAGGCGACTGCTAGCGTGGTGCACCTCCCAGGGTCCCTGTCTGCCTGGCTCCCGGCACCGCCCAGTGCACTCTCCCGGCCCGGGGCACGTCCAGCAGTGGCCTGTGCTGCCCACCTTTAGGGACTGTCGCCAAATCCAGTCCTCTCTGTCTGCCCTAACCCTCCCACGCTCGCTTGGGCCTGCTCCTACTCGGGGCAAAAACCGAGGTGGGCGGTTCTGCTGATGAGGAAGGAGGCAGGCGCGCTGCGCTGCTCTTCGGGCGTGCCCCACGGTCCCTAAGCGGCCTCGTGGGCATGGGCGGCACGTCTAGGTCGTACTTTGGGTAACCTCGGGTTGAACACGTGGTCGTTGTGGAGACAAATCCCTTCTGGACGTCCCAAGGGCACGGAGGAGCTGGGGGGGCCTGCCCTTTAGGGCACCACCTAGGAGCACGCGTCCTCATCCTAAGTCTCACCCTGTCCTAGAAGAGGGAGGAGGAGGAAGGGGGGTGGGGGAGGAGAGGGGCGGTGGCTTCTAACCTTGGTCCCAACTCCCCATCTGTACCTCCAGCTGGGATGGCCAGGCAGAAGCTGGGCCTCCCGAGACTGGAACACCTAGAAGCTTATCCAGGTGGGAAGGCTAGGACAATCTGGAAGCCCTGGGCTTGGGGGAGGTTCCCAGGCTGCAGGTGCCTGAGAAATCAGAGAGGCCCCATCCCCGCCCTCCCATCCCCCACCCCCACCCCCACCCCAGAAAAACTGTGCTGAGCTGAGCCTTGAATGAGAAAACTGGAGAAGGCATCTCAGGTTAGGTGTGGTGCTTCCCGCAAAGGCACAGAGACAGGCTTGAGCAAGGTTGTGCACCAAGACCCTGTGGGGCAGTCTGGCTCCATCAGTGTAGGACTCTAATTGTAGCCAGTATTCTTCAATGAACCTGAGGGATTTCCCTTTTTCTGAAGCAGAGGCATTGATTGGAACATTCAGGATCGGGAAGGATCATTTGTAGATTTGTTGTCAGATTGCATGCTTTTGGGGGCAGAGACGAATTTTATAAGGACTGAGGCCCACAAGGAGCCTTGGTGGCACAGCGGGTTATGCATGGGGCATGCATGGGGCTGCGAACCACAGGTCAGCAGTTCAAACCCACCAGAGCTCCTAGGGAGAAAGATGAGGCTATTTCCTTAAAGATATAGTCTCTGAAAGCCACAGGGCAGTTGTACTCTGTCCGACTCGCTGTGAATTGGAATTGGCTCCATGGCATTTAGTTTGGAGAGGTTTTTTTTGGGGGGGCAACAATTGTAAACCAGGTCAAACTCCTCCTCTTCCCTCGTAAAGTATCTTTTCTGACTTCCAGTCCAATTTCCTTCCTCTTCCAGGAAATCTCAGGTTGAGTGAACGAGAAGCCAACGGCTCATTAACCAAGTACTAACCATCAAGCGGATCAGTTCTATGTCTGTTGTTTCATCCTATGAAGACCTATCCTTTGGGTTGTCATGGAGCTGATTCTGCTTCACAGAGGTCTCAATTCAAGGCTGCAGCCTGTTGAAAGCAGGGCACCAGGCCCGTCTTCTGAGGCTACTCTGGGTGGATTCAAATCGCCAGCGTTCTGGTCAGTTGTTGGTGCTTAACCATAGGCCCCTTATGTAGATTCTATCATCATCCCCACTTTACACACTAGGAAGCCAAAGTTCAGAGTGGCATACCTAGGACTTGAACTTAAGTTGCCAGACTCTAAAGCCAGTGGGGTTCATGCCCCCTTTGCCATAACAAAGACCACTGAGCCTCTCTTGCTAAAAGGAAGACTCACTATATCCACCGACTTTTGCAGACAGCCAAAAATAACCTATGGAGGAGTGTCTTGGCACTAAAGGCTTTGTTGTGATATTTGTCTGCCTTCACTCTGGGCTTCCTGTGAACGTGGGTACACCATTTGGGGCACACTAGGGTCTGAATTGATTTGATGGAAACAGATTTGCTTTTTTGACTTGTGTATATATAGTTCATGTGTTTAGATGTGCATCTGTTTAGATCTGCATATGTGTGTAGTGTGTGTACAAGTGCATACAAGTGTTGAGTACCTGTCTTAGTGTGTGTGAATGCATGCAAATGTGTGTGCAGATGCATGAATGTATGTGCGTGTATTAATGTGAGTGGATTTATGTATGTGTGTATGCTTGCATCCATGTGTTCACACATGTGCATGTGTCAGCTATATACGTGTGTATGTGTCCATGCATGTGCGCATGTGCACCCATGCTTCATTTCACAAACAGCAGTTCCTGCTTGGTTGTTATGGGAACCACAGTTCTAAAAATGTTAAACTGAATCCCACTCCATTTGGGCCAGAGAAACCAAAAGAGACAGAGAGGGATGCACAACACACACCTGGGGTCCTAGTGTCAAAGCAAGAATCGTGGGTTCAGAGAAACTGGACAGGCCCACACTCGTCAGAACTGTGGGCCCACTCAGGAATGCCACAGCTCGGATCAGGGCCTCCAACTTGCTGCTTCTCACTTCTCGGTCCTGATCCTTCCTCCTCCCTTTTCTCATTTTTCCTACTTCATACTCCACAGCTCTCCTCCTTTCCCCTCCTTGTAGGCCTTTAGTCTTTTTTTTTTGTCTGGAAATCCAACCAACACAATATTTAAACACATCTGCAAGCATATGGGGCAGTGAGCTTGGTGCTATCAGACCATGTGGATCCAACCCGGTCTCTGGCCTTGAAGATGCCTGCTCAGGTGATAGTTGGTATGAAGCTGAGGATGAAGAGCAGAGAACATGAAGAGATGAGGGAAGGATTGGAAGATGAGATTGGGTCAGAGAAAGAGGGCTTTAACTGAAAGGGTACGGAGCCTTGGAAGGCACTTGGCTGCAAGCCAAGAGATTGCTGGTTTGAACCCATTCAGAAAGACCTGGTGACCTGCTCTTCCTAAAATTACAGCCCAGGAAACCCTAGGGGCAGATCTACTCCATCATCTGTCCCTCTGAAGCAAAATGGACTTGATGGCACCCAGCACCAACAAAGGAAAGGGTGAGAGGTGTGTGGGTTTTGTGGGACGGTAGGAGTCCAGGCCAGCTTGGATAGAGCATTCATAGACGACTACGACGGTTGTATTGGGGAGTTTCCGCTAGGAGTGCTGCGCAGAAGGGGAAGAAGTAGAGAGGCCAAAGGGTCACAGGAAACATGGCTTTGATGTGGCGAAAAACGGGTGAACTGTTCACTACAGATGAACAAGTCAGCACAAGTAGGCCTTGTTTACTGGTTCCTCTATCCCTGTCAGGGATTAAAATTTTGAAAAGAGGCTTTGACTCTGTAGGCAGACACCGTAGGGTTGGAAGAAAGACAGATGTCAGCCACACCTAGAAGCAGGATCTTTGATGTGGTGAAAAATGCGACATTGTCTATTGCACATTAGTAAGCACAAGTAAGCCTCTGCTTACCTTGCTCATTGGGTAATCCACCCCTGAAAAGCAGTTTAGACTAGTGCAGGCTTGTCTCAAGCAGGTCATGGAGGCTGGGGTGAAGGAAGAAGAGAGGGCAGGTATTGGTCAAACTCTCCCTCAGGTCTCACTACATCAGTATTTTTATTACTCTCGCAGCAGTGAGCCCATTTTACTGATGTGTGTCTGTCTACTTCCTCGGGGCACTGAAAAGAACAAAGTTGGGAGCTGCTGGCTCAGCACAGAGTGAGCACTCAATAAATATTGAGGAATTAGCAGGCATACAGATATGCACATGTCTGGGAACGACGGGAAGAGTCACGCTTAAGGCCCCTCAGAGCCTCTCACTTGTGTCCCTAAGAAAATCCCCAAACATCTTAGATGTGTCTCCTCCTCCATGCAATAAGGGACTTGGATAGATATTCTGACGTGCTCCTTCCAACTACAATGTTGTTATATAATTCCAAGCGATTGCCATAACCAAAGTGTGTATGTGTGTGTGTGTGTGTGTGTGTGTCCAGGGGTGGGTATGGCCTAGACCAAGATTTGAGGGAAAAGCTCGGGGAAGATACATATGGGAACTGTTCTAATAAAAGTCTCAATGTCTCCTGGCTTTAATTTTCAGCAATATTGTGGCCTAGATAACCCCCAAACCCTCCTGTTACAGAATTCCTGGAATGCTTCATGAAATATATCAGACTTCTCCTGAAATGCTTATCTAAGTTTGCAGGGGAGTAAGGAAAATCCACATGGACCAAAATCAAGGGAAGTGAAATCAAGAAATGTAAGCATGAGATAGCCTGTAATCAACCCTGGAAGGTTTGGAGAGAAGCCTATTTCTTGTTTCTCTTGACCTGGGCCCTGGTTGGAGTAGGAAGCATCTCCTCTGAGAGAAGGTATTGAGTCCTTGGGGTTTGGAGTTTGAAGTGCCATCACCTACATGGTACGAAAACACCAAGACAGAACATCAGTATAAAGACTGGTCTGCAACAGATGGCACCCTGATATGCCTTCGGGCAAACACAAAACAGCTCTGGAGAAAGACATCCAGCCTCTGGAAACATCTAGAAACATAACCCAAGCTACACAGAGTTATTGCCCAAGGAAATCTCCAATGAACACGAGTTCATAAACTAAAAATTACAATGCACGAAATGGAACAATGTGCCAAGAATGAGAGCAGATAAAACCCTTAAGAGCTGTAGTGAGATCCCATGGACTTAGGTGGCAACTGGAGGGAGGAGTCAAAGGAGCCAAGCAAGTGTGGCGGTAGCCCTCAGCAGAAACTGGGTATATGCAAAGATGGCTTGATTTTAGATAGAATTTATTTGAAATAAGGGAGCCCTTAAAATGTTCATCTGCTAACCACAAGGTTGGGGATTCAAGGCTATGAGCCACTTCTATATGGTAGAGAACTTTTGCAGCCTGCTTCCATAAAGATTTACAGTTTTGGAAACACTATGGGGTAGTTCTACTCTGTCCTACAGCATCATGGCAGTGGGCTTACCACAGAGTAGTTTACAGGAGACAAATACTCAACCATGTGAAAGCACTTGGCATCTAGAGAGAGAAATGGAACAAAACAAGGGTGGACCCTCTGACTCAATCATTTTGCATTTGGTCAACTTAACTCAGTCCCAGGTGATAGAAATGGTAAACATGCCTGGTGACTAACCAAAACATTGGAGGTTTGAGGCCACCCAGAGGCACCTAAGAGGAAAGACTTGGCAGTCTACTTCCAAAAAACAGCCACCGAAACCCTCTGGGACACAGGTCTACCGTGACGACGAACTTGGAGTCACCTTGAGTCAGAATTGACTCAATGGCAGTTGGTTGTTGTTGTTTTTTTAAATGGAACTGCAAGGGTTGAGGGCAAGCGTATCTGAGGGTGGAACAGAGGATCTGAAAAGAAGAACCCCCCCCAAAAAAAGCCCTCCCCCATCCTTAGCAGAAAGAAGAGCTGGGATGAATGGCAGTCTTTTCATGCTCCAAGGTCTGTCCCAGGCATCCAGGAGACAAAAGCGTCCCTGGGTAAGGAGCCCAGGGACTAAGGGAGGGACAAGTCTCACCCACTCCCACCATCCTCCTCACAGGATCGTGCTTTCCTCTTCGTCCCTAACCCCCGTCATGCAGGGGTCCCATTGAAGGAGAACTTAGGCAAAGGGGCCCTGGCTCATGAATGACTGGGCTTCTGCCTCCCAGAGAAGATCTTTGTAGGAACAGTAACTAAGGCGACTGTGAGTCTCTTGACAGCCACCCACGCCTCTGGGCTTGGCGTTGCCAATCAGCTAGACTCAGGTGTGATGAACTGAGTGCTCTGACCCTTTGGGCCCTGCCAGCATGGATCCACTGACACACGCCAGTGCTGCAGCAGTGACACTGAATATTCTGTGTGGTAGAAGACAGTACTACTCCAGTGTGATGCTGCTGCTGCTGCTGTCACTGTCACTGCCACCACCTGGGGCTCTATTTGTCAAACCTGCTTCTTAACTGGTAGGAAACTAAGGACCGCTAGTGGTGCAGGGGGTGAATGTTAGGTTGCTAATGGAAAGGTTGGCAGTTTGAACCCCTCAACCACTCCACGGGAGAAAGATGAGGCATGCAAGATGCTTCCATTAAGATTTACAGTTCTGGAAACCCCATGGAATTTGACGCTGCCCTGTCTCTCTGAGTTGTAATTGACACGACAACGATGAGTTTAGTAAGAAGTCTTCCAAATGTCTGTTAAGCTCAGGTGCCTCCATTCAGGGGTAGGGAAAAGAACATTGGCCTTGGAGCCAGGCAGATCCCTGGGTGTTTCACCCAGCGAGCTGTCTAATCACTGCGTTTTGTTACTGCATCTTGGAAAGAGGCTGTATGCCTGCCCCACTGCTCCAGGTGGTGAAGGCTGTTGCTGTGTGCTGTCAGGCTGACTCAGCGATGGTGCATCACGGGGTAGAATTTCATGGGGTTTCATGGACTGAGATGCGTACAGAAGCAGATTGCGGGGCCTTTTCTCCAGAGAGCGACTCGTGGATTCAATCACTGACCTTTCAGTTCGCAGTTGAGTGCTTAACCACTGTGTCACCAGGGCTCCTTTGTGAAGACTAAGGAGGATAATAGATGCATGAGGTTTGCTACCTATGCCTCTCAACCAAATTCCAGAAACACCCCTTCAGTTGGCTGTGATTAGATTGCACGGACCATTAGCCATAGGCATTACATATAATGTGAGAACATATCTGTAAGCTTTTATATGTAATGTCTCCAGCCCACAAAGACAAATTAAAGATTGGCTTCATAAGGACATTGATAATAATGAAAACTTTAAAATGATTAAAAAGAGGTATTCAACTTACATCAGAATCCACTTATGCCTGGGTCTTCCCAATGAATCTCCTTGGGTGTGCACAGTGTCTGACCGTAGGTGTGTGATGTGTCTGATTTATTGTATTCCCCCTCAACTCAAGAGCCTGGGCTGCAGGAGCTCAGGGAGGTCCCTTTTCTTTCTGCATATGCTCCTGTCCCTCGGGGTGGTGTTGGGAGCAACCGGTCAGCTCAGATGACAGATTCAGTAAGCTTTTAGCACAATCATTTTAATTGCAAAAATAAACAGTTTTGTCAACTGCTTGAGAGTAGCATCTGCTTTACAAAAAACTAACAACAAAAAAGAAACCCCAAAGCAAAAAACGTTACATCCAAAGGCTGCTGGAAACGACACTGCTGTATAAAGTCCTGCGCGAGACCGGCTCGGCGCGGCCCCAGCCTGTCTCCGCGGGCACAGGAAGGGCGTGGGGTGGGTGCCAGGTACAAAGGAAAAAAAAAAAACCAGACTGTCATGAGTCCCAAGGAAGTGGATTCTCAGTGGCTGGCCTCAGAAGACTTCCCAAGCGTGGCTGACTGCACTCGCAGGCCGAGGGAACTGTCCACGGAGCTGGTGCTGAACGGGAAGTTTGCGGCGGATGCTTCACAGAAACTGAAGGTGGGACCCGAGGCTCGCCCAGAAGCGCACAAGAGAAACACGTGGGAAGGGAAGTGATGGCGCATGGGGACGGGGCGGGGGTGGGTGGGTGAGGGGTCTTCTCGTGCTCGTCAGATGGCGGCGCCCCAACCTAGAAACTCATCTCTCGCTCACAGGGCGGCGAAAGAGAGACCCAACGAGTAAAAGCCGAGGCCCTTGAGCCGCTCCTCGGCCCGCGCCTTCTGCTTGAGATGTACCTTGCTGTGCCGTTTCTTCTCGTCGCTGCGCGCGAAGCGGCGGCCACACACGTCGCAGGCGAAGGGCTTCTCGCCAGTGTGGGTGCGCACGTGCGTGGTGAGGTGGTCGCTGCGGCTGAAGTTGCGGAGGCAGATGCGGCACTGAAAGGGCTTGTGGCCCGTATGGATGCGCAGGTGGCGGTTGAGCTCGTCCGAGCGAGCGAAGCTGCGCACACAGCTCTCCACCGGGCAGGCAAAGGCTTTGGCGTGCGGCCGCGGACAGAAGCAGCGAGCGCTGCACTTGCCTCCCCGGCGCCCCTTGCGTCGCGGCTTGGCAGGGGAGAATGGGGCGGGTGGCGGCCCCTGAGGCGCAGCCACACCACTGCCCCCCGGGATGTCCGCCACTAGAGGTTTCGGTAAGTCAGCCGAAGTGCTGCGCAGACCCAGCGGGGACAGCTGAGGCTGCGTACCGGGCAGAAACTCTCCGCCGTCGCCATTCCCCCCACCCTCCCCACTCGGAGGGCTCAGGAGCCCGGGGAGGCCATCGGCCCCCTCTCCTAGGTCACCAGGGGCTAGAGAGAAAATGTCATAGGCCTCCGTGGAATAGAGTCTGTTGGCCGGGCCGGCTGGCAGCTCCGCGGGACAGCTAATGGACAGCAGGTCTTCAATCTTGGGCCCCACCGTGGGGAAGTGGGGCTCAGGGGAGGACTGGTAGCCCCTCTGTAACCCGCAGCTCCCTGGGGCCCCGGTAGAGAGCAGTTCCCAGGGCGCATAGGGGCCAATGAAGGCCGAGGCGGCGTCGAGGGCTGGAGAGGCCGGAGGCGCTCGAAGTCCCGGCTTGACGTCGGGCGGGGAGAGCTGCGGTTCGTACAGGCACTGCGAGGGGGCGCCCGCGGCGGGCGAAGCCTCCCAAAACGCCTCTGGGAAGGCAGCAGCGCCCAGATCCGGGGAGTAGAGGTCGGGCAGCCCTGGCAGCAACGCGTCTGAGCCCGTGGGGAAGGGGGCGTCCAGCGCGGACCTGGATGCCACCGTCTCAGGGCCGGAGAAGGGTGTCAGGCCGAGGATGCCTGACATGAGGTTGAAGAGCGCCTCTGGGTCGTGCGGGTGTTCGGGCACCGCCTGGATGAAAAAGCTCCCACTGTAGCTGAGGCCGGGAGGGGGCGTGGGCGCAGGCCCCTCGGGGCAGCAGGAGTCGGCCGCTAAGTTGCCCCCGGCGGTGCCGCAGCTGCTCAAAGCCCAGCTCAAGAAGTCGCCTGCTGGGGACAGAGCTGGAGTCAACCCCGGGCGCCTCCCAGAGCGCGCCTCCGAGCAGGCAGCTGCGGCCCACCAAGCTCTGGGTGCGCACGCACACAGGGGGGCCTTTTTTGCACACCGGTCCAGCCAAGGGCCACCAGACGCTCCAAGGCGCACATACAAACATGCACACGCAAAACACACGTGCACAGGCAACGGGGCGCCCGGGTGCGTGCACAGGTGCCTGCGGAGGCGCTGGCAGCCCCACGGGGAGGGGATTGGGGGTGCTCACTCCAGGTCCCCACACCTCCTGCTTCGCGCCCAGCTCCCTGCCCTCTCTCAGCCGCATGGCACTGAGCCCCCCAGGCCTGTCCCTTACCTCCCGGGTAGCCGTTGGCCACTGGAGCGTCCCTGGCAGGCAGCCGGGGTTCGGTGCTGAGGTCCCCGCAACAGCCCTCGGTGGACTTGACGAGGAGCGCGTCGGGGCTAGAAAACTCGTTGAGGTGGAGCATGGCGCGGCGGCGGCGGTGGCGGCGGGGAGCCCGGGGCCTCGCCCGCTGGGTTTGGGGGCGCGCGGGTGGAAGGGAGGCCAGAGGCCGGGGCGCTCCGCGACGCGCAGAACCAGACGCCCGAGCCCGGGACTGCGGGCGCGCGCCTTTGGGTAAAGGGTCTGCAGACCACTGCGTCTTCGCTCGCCGGGACCGGCCTGGGGCGGCGGCGTCTCGCCTCTCCAAAGCGCAGCCAGGCTCCCCCACCCCGCGGCCCCCCCACTTATATAGCAGCGTCGGCTCGGGCTCTGGGCTTCCGACTCCCCGGGCCACTGCCATTTCGGGAGGCCCCGGCCCTGCCGCCGTGACGTAAATGCCCAAACATGGACACAGGATGTGTGCCGGGGACTCCCGAAAAGGAAAGCTCGGGCTGCGACGTCACCGCCGCCACCGCCGCCGGGCTGGCGCCGCTGCGTGCGCGCGCGCTCCCGAGCGTGGAACCCGTGCGCGACGGGGCCGCGGACGCGCCCTCTGGGGGGAAGGGGCCTGCGTCCCGGGAGGCCGACGGGGGCCGGGAACCCACTGTCAGCCCGGGGCCAGAGGCCTGGGGGTGACGAGAGGAGATTTCGTGGGCCTTGGGATTCTCTAGTTAGGGGTTCGAATCTGTCTCCCCTTCATTTCTCTTAGCGCCGGTTTCCTCGTCTGTAAAGTGGAGATATTCTACCTGCCTTGCGAATTTGCTACAGAGCGTAGCACGGGCACACTGTAAACCCTGGAGATCACTGGCATCATTTGTTCATTTTTTTCCCCCCTCACTCCTGTGCGTTTTTCCTTTTTCTTAACAGCTTGCTTTTTCTAGTTAACACTAAGAAAAATAATTATTACGTAAACGGGAAAGTACAGTGACACTTGTCATGGAGAGGGGCAGGGCAATCAGTGCAGAAGGTATATTGGAAATTGAAAAGTGAAAGTCCCTCTTTGCCTCAATCCTTGACATAGCTATATTTAATTTTATTGGGTATGTATTCTATATATATATATATATATATATACTGTTCAACAATATGAATATTTTTCACTTAAAATAACTTAGAGATTGCTCAGTACCAGAGCACATGGAGCCTCATCCTCTTTTAGGCCTATGTTATTATACCACTCCACAAGTAGTCCTGGTAGTGCAGTGGGCTAAGCATTAGGCTGCAAACAGAAAGGTCAGAGGTTCAAATCCACTAGCTGCTCCACCACAGATAGAGGAGGCTGTCTGCAACCCGGAAGGATTTACTGGCATGGAAACCCCAAGGAGCAGTTCCATTCTGTCCTGTAGGTTCCCTGTGAGTCGGAACCTCCGCCATGGTTTTGGGTTCTCTCTGCTAAGGGCGGAGTACAATCTAGTTCATTTTGGCCCCTTCGGTGATCCCGTCCATAGTCTGCCCCCTTGTGCTTTCACCATTTAGGAAAACAAATCCCAGAAACTTGTCAGTCACATTCAGAGTTGGCTTTAGGGGAAGGCTCTCTCCTTCAGCTCTGGGGAAGCTCCCTGTTCCTTGGCGAACTGTAGGCTACAATACAAGGAGTGTCGTTTGTAACTCAAGGGCATGGAAACATTTTGGTAACTGGCAAGTTGCCTTCCAGAAAAGTAGGGAGCATTGCTGTTCTTCCCCTACCCTCTGACTGCCCCAACCCCTAGGCTTTCCTTCACTCTAGGGGCGCTACTGTTCTCAGCAACACACGGGAGCCACAGGAACCGGTTCCCTGGGGTCAGCACCTGGAGTGATTGTACTACTTCTGACAAATTACCGGTAAATAACAACTACACCCCGCCCCCCAGCCCCGTGTTAGTGTTACTTGTTGGGCTGCTAACTACAAGGACAGCAGTTTGAAACCACAGGAGAAAGAAGAAAGAGGGTTTCTGCTCCCATAAGGATGTACAGCCTCAGTAACAGGGCAGTTCTGCTCTGTCCTGTGGGCTTGCTGTGAGTCCGAATGGCCCCCCTGGCAATGAGTCTGTGGTGTTCGCTGTGGACCTCTAAGGAAGAGGTAAACTGTCCACAGTGTCAGAGTTAGCTCCAGGGGAGAAGCTGCCCCCGACATCACACACCCCGCCACTCCACTCTCAGTCTAACTGCTCTTTGGCACTGGTTTTCCCTCTCCCTCCTTTCCAAATCTTTTTAAAAAATATTTGCGTTATTAACTAACTCCCTTTCTTTCTTTCTTCTTTTTTTTTTTTGACAAAGAGCAATGCTTCCTGAGACTAGGTACTGGAAGAGGGGAGGGGAGGGGAAGGCTGGAGCTGCCCTTTCCTTCTCTCACTCACTGCCATTGAGTTGATGTGACTCACAGGATGCTGTTCTACCCGACAGGACAGGGTAGAACCATGCAGAAAGAGACGGTAACTCTTTCCAGGAGTAGAAAGCCCCATCTTTCTCCTGCAGAACTGCTGCTGGTGGTTTTGAACTGCTGGTCTCCCAGATGACAGCTGAACAAATAGCCACCACACCCTCAGAGCTCCTAGTTCTTCTCTACTGTCCTAGACATGGGAACAAAGCCTTTGGAGGTTGAGGGTTGCAGTGTGGCTACCAGCAGGCTCCAGGCTCCACAGCCCCCTCCTTTTCAAGAGAGCCTGCTCAAGAATGCCCAAAACCAGCCAAGTTCTCAGGCCTTTCACCCTGTGCCCGTTATCCAATCACCCATTTATTCAATATCTCAACATTCATTCATCCAATTAAATGACTGCATCGGGACTCCAAAGCCCATCTCCAGCCCTCACTGCTCACCTTCCACTCTCCAGCATCCTGAGGGTGTCCACGGGATGTGTTTCATCACACAGTCACCTTGGGGACACCCTTGCAGGCATCTTCTGGAATCAGCGAATCATAGAAAGGCTTCCCCATTTGTCTTAACAAATGCCACAATAGATTTCTGTGTCCACATAATTCATGGGAATAACACATAGGTATGCTTGCAGAGAATGAAGAAGCCAGCACGTGTGTACAAGGAGCACTGTTTGCCTTATTCTGTGTTTCAGACCGGGGCCTTGATTCTCATCCAAGTGCTTTGCCAAGGCCAGGTGAGCCCTCACCAGACACGCAGGGCACACATGTCTCAAGCACATGCTGGCATCTTGCAGCCTGAAAGAGGGGAGAGGGGAGCGATTTGGCTGGGCTGGTGTCCAGAGCTCCCCAGGCTCCCCCGTCAGGCCAGATTGGCCAGCCCCAGGTTTCCCATCTGTTATGGAATGAATTGTGTCCCGTCACCCAAAATATGTGTTGGAAATCCTGCACCCTTTGTGGCTATCATCTCCTTTAGGAATGGTTCATCTTTGTTATGTGAATGAAGCAGGATCAGTACAGAGTGTATATTGAGTCGATCTCTCTTTTTAAAAATATAAGTTTAGTTTTACACATTTAAAAATGGCTATTTCCAAAATACACATAAAAAACTACTTTTCCAATATTAAAGCAGACTTTTCTTTGGTATAGAAATCTCATGTGTGATCTTTATGTTACAAAATTAATCCTGGACTATGACCGAATACACTAAATAGAACTATTCTTTGCCCATCTGTCTGTCCCCTTATTTAGCCTTACTATGGAACTTAAAAATACAGGTTTATACGCATCTCTGTGTACAAGAAGAATTAAGATTGTAAATCAAAGATGCCATGGATGTTAGAGAGTAGATACTAATTGCCTTCATCGTTGACACAAACTACAAAAACAAGCAAATAAACAAAAAAAGGAGCAGCATAACATTTAGGAAAAGTAAAACAAAGCCTGTAAGGATGCCTTCTATAAAAACAATCACGGATGGAAATCTGATGCCCTGAAAACAAACTGACTGCCTTAGAATTGTAACACAAACAACGCTGGGTCCACCGCTTTTGAAATACACAAGAAATTAAGCAAGGAAGCTCAGCAGTAGTAGGGCAAGAGAGACGCCAAACCATGTGAAGATTGCCTGGAAGCAGAGATTCCAAGCGATGAAGACTTTCCTCTGGAGTTGAGAGAGAAAGCAAACCCTCCCCTAGAGCGGACACCTTGAATTTGGACTTCTGGTCTCCTACATTGTGAGAGGACAAAGGTCTGTTTATGAAACTCACCCATTTGCAGTGTGGCTGTCCCAGCACCCCCATGACGTGGAGCCACCTCTTAGGCTTTCCTCCGCCACCTCCATCACAGATTATCCCTCTATTCTTTTGGATAGTTGCCAGGTCACTGCTGCAGGTTGCCAAGGGCTTTTGGGCTGGGTCTGTTAGGACAAGAGTCTGAGTCACCCCAACTTCCTCTTGTTAAGAGACCAGGTCTGGTGTGTAGGAGTGAGTAGGAGAGAAAGCTAGCTTGTACTTTAGGTGTAAGTGACCCACATGTCCCTCTCTGCACACCTGGACACACTCACATAGGATGCTCATCTCTGGAGGGCAATTCACATTTGCATTTACTTTCTTTTTTTTTAAATAATTTTATTGGGGGCTTGTACAACTCTTATCACAATCCATACATCCATCGGTTGTGTCAAGCACATTTGCACATTTTTTGCCCTCATTCTCAAAACATTTGCTTTCTATTTGAGCCCTTGGTATCAGCTCCTCATTTCCCTCCTTTCCCTGCTCCCCGCTCCCTCATGAACTCTTGATAATTTATAAATTATTATTTGTCATATATTACAGTGTCCGGAGTCTCCCTTCACCCACTTTTCTGTTGTCTGTCTGCCAGAGACGGGATTATATGTAGACCTTGTAATTGGTTCCTCCTTTCTCCCCCACCTTCCCTCCACCCTCCCAGTATCGCCACCCTCAGCACGGTCCTGAAGGGATCGTCTGTCCTGGATTCCCTGTGTTTCCAGTTCCTATCTGTGCCAGTGCACATCTTCTGGTCTAGCCGAATTTGTAAGGTAGAATTGGGATCATGATAGTGGGGGTGGGGAGGGGAGAGGAAGCATTTAAGAACTTGAGGAAAGTTCTATGTTTCATCATCGTTGCTACACTGCACCCTGACTGGCTCATCTCCCCAGGACCCTTCTGTAAGGGGATGTTGCATTTCGTTTCTTAAGGAGGGGAAGGAGGTTGAGTATTCTGAAGCACTTCCCAGTCAACTCATGGGCACAGTCCACCCTGCCCCACCCGGAGTCCCCAACTCCCTTCCCCTCTAAATGTTAACAGCTTAAACGGGGGTTCTGGGCCTGGACACAACATAGC